TTTTATTGTGAAGATTAACTGCATGAGTGGATTTAGGAATTTGTGATGATTGACCTCTTTAAGTTTAATGTAACTGTATTCCAAGAGAGTGATAACTTTAGCAGAAACCCTGTATCTTACCTTTATGAAGTTTTAATATGTGTATATATATATAATCCTTGTGCCACTCATATGAAATCTCCTACGCTATTTAAGCTCATGGTTTCATATTTCTTTATCAGAATTTGGAAATGTTGCTTTGATTCCTTTGAATCCTGTACTACTTGATTAACAACAATGTCATTTATTAGATTTATGTAGTATTGAAATGTGTGAGGGAGTTTAACTCCCATCTACAATGATATATATAACAGAAAAAATAATAGATAAATAAATATGCTGTAAATATTCTTTTAAGAAACTCCAACGGGCTCATCCAAATCATCAACAGAAAGTATAGTCGAATAAAGTATTGCTATTGTTCAGTAAATCGCAGCTTTTTGCCCAATGACTTGTGTTTCTTCTTTTTATTATTTGTGATTGAAACAGTAAGGGCTAATCTTAAAGAGTTTGTAAGGAAATTCTCTCAGCGTCTCGGACTTTATTTCATGCTTTTTGGTTATCCGAAGTGAAATTAAATAAGAAATTGATACATCATTGACAAACATTTATTTTGGGCACAAATTTTAATATATATTTGAGAATGGAAAATTTTTAAAATTAAATTTAGGACCATCCAAATTTTGGTTTCAAAAAATTTGTAATTGAATTGAACATTTAGATGAGATGAGATGAATTTGATGATATTAAAAGTGATATAATCTAAGTCTAGATAAGCTTATAGATTAAGCACTTGGAGCATAACAAAACATTTTAGATAAAGTTTGAATGCTTATAGTTAAATTGAGTGTATTAATGAGACAAATTAAATTAATTTAAAATTACTTAATTTTGATAGCATTAAGATACTTTATTTTTCAACAAATTTTTTATGATTAAAGAAATTAATATAGGGCATCTAAGGGAGTGTTTTGACTTTCTTTATATTTACATGTCATTGTACTTGCAAAAGAAACAAGTTGACACTCTCTTCATGAGAAGATATTGGTAGTGTGGACTATAAAAATTTAACGTTGCATAGAGTCTATAAAAATTTAGAAGCTTCACTCAAGCACCATCACTAGATCGTTGCATGGTCACCACTATTCAAGCAATCGTCCAATCGCCGCCATTGATACGTGATCGCCTGATTGCTTTCATTGGAACACCACTCTATCAGCATCATCATATTATCATCGTCAACTATGAACTTCCACCCATTGTCGCTCAATACACCCCTTTAATAATATGAAGTTGTACTCTTAAAAATTGAGGTATCTTTTGGTGATAGTTATAATTTTATTAGAAATTCAAAGTTAATCTATGCTGGCATAAGAGCACTCCTAGGCCCTAGGATGGTGACCTCCTGGCGATATATATATATATATATATATATATATATATAATTATGCAATATTTAAATCATAACAACTTAAATACTTGACGCGTACTAAATAAATTCATATTAGGATAAAAATTAAAATGATATGTTGCATATGACCAACATCTCAATATAAATAACTACAAATAAAAATGTATAAAAACATATTGTAAAAAATTATGATAAAATTAAGGATGATAATAAGATGTTTTCAAGAAAAAAACTAGGTGATTGGCCTTCCTAGCATAGCTCCCGGGTATATCAAAATCACACGTGTCAAATTTACACTATTAGATTTAAGTCCATTCTCTCTAATTTTGCCACCTATCATAAAAATATGCCACCCAAGAATTACGTCATAGAATACTAATATCTCCCACCAATAAAAGTGGTGCCTCTCCTTGTTCTAGGCCACAGATGCAAAGCCAAGCTCTCTCAACTCATCCTCTCCTTCACTAATCCAATCAAGGAAGGGGAATAGAGATAGAAAGAAAGGGGGAAAGATCAATATAACTTGTCTTCTTTTTATTCTTCTTCTAATTCGAACCAAAGATGAAGAGGCTGACGAGTGCAGAGATAGCACACCTCAAGGAGGTTTTCAACATCTTCCATAAGAATGGCGATGGTAAATGCAATAACCCAACTTGACCTTTGTGTCATTCTCTCAATCTCATTCTAATTGCTTACTTCAAGGCATTTTTTGAGTTTCTGGTTTTATATTTAGAACAACGAGGCTTTTGTTATTTGTTGACATATACAAGGATCCTTAATGGTTACGCTATTGTGCTTAATGTAGATGACAATCATTTTTTGTCTTACATTGGATTGTTATGGCATACTTCACTACATTTAATCTTGTTTTACCTTTTTTTTTTCTAAACCAATTGCTCGGCTTAAAATTTTTTATCTGATAAATTTTATGCGCTAGCGGTCATCATCAGGTTTTGATGAATGCTCTAATGAATTAGGGCATGAGATTTATTTTAATTTGATTATAGGGAGTATAAGTACATGTGAATGAAATGCCACTATTTTTTCTTACTATGGTTTTAGGTTTTATTGCATTTTTAAGGTTTGTCAATAATTTTTTTTTTTTTATTGGTGGATTCTGTCAATTGTCTAATATAGATGTAGGTTTTGATTCTTCAAATGATGATTTCAGATATGTGTTATAACCTGAGTTCTTTTGAATTGTAATAATATAAGGGTTCAATTTCTCTCAAGTCCTTATGGCTTTACTGAAAGCCTGAATTTATTCAAGAGGACTCATGTTCATTCTTACATTTACTTTATTTTGTGTTCTAAACAAATTTAGAGCTTTTTGGTGTAAGGTGGGGAGCTAGCGACTTAAGAGCATGTTACCTATATCTCCAAATATGCCAAAAACCCTAATGCCTTGAGGTGCACTCCCCAAGGGTTTTTGATCACTTATTTCTCAGCTGGCAACACTCGTCACTCATCACTTGACATACTACAAGTCACTAAAAACAATAATAAAAAATGAAAAAAATAAAGATGTGGTAAAAATAAAAAATTAATGAGAAAAAAATTTGTATAATTTCCAAGTCTATCTTGAAATAATTTATATAAGGGTATATTTACATTTTTTTAAAAATCTATATATTTATATTATTTTTTTAATTGTTTATTAAAATTGTTTCTTACATTTATAAATAAATAAATTGAGTTTAGATATTGTAATCAAAATTTTATTATAATAAGTTATAAATTTTTTAATTTATTTTGAAATCAATATACTATAAGCTCAAAAAATTTCCACGTTATAACTACTATAAAATTTGTCTACAAATTAGAACTTGAAATTAATGAATCAATGATAATTTAGTAACTTATGTTATATATATATATATAACACTTCATTTGATTATTTAAGAATGTGAAGAACAAACGTTATAAATTATAAGTTTTTATTATCCTATGTTTTATATTTTTTTGAACTAATAACTTCATCCTTTCGAAGCTCAACTTCCTCAGTAATTCATTCATTCTTGTCCTTCTCATAATAGAATCATACTGGCTTTGAGTCATTCGACTTGACTCGTCCCCATTAAGCCCTTTTAGTATCATAAAATGGAATATTTCATTATTATATCTTGTGGATGAATAGTTCTTTTTTATAATTGTGTTCTTAATGACCATAAAATTATGAAGAAAAAGTGAAATAAATCATTATTAATTAAATATTAATTTAAATATATAGCTAAATATATGATAAAATGAGGATCATAAAAAAACCAATGGAATATTTTACACTTGAAAAAAATATATTATTTTGCTAGTGAGATATATACATTAATGATACTAAATTGTCACGCAAACATGTGAATTTTAAGTTGCAATAACAAAATTAAAAAGAATAAATAAATGAATCAACCCCTAAGTGGTAGTACTACTCAATATAATATGTCATCTTTCTTAACTATTGATAGCTCCCACCAGTAAATATGATACCTCTACGAGAAATTATTCTATGCGAAGTTCAGACGCAGAGTTGTGTTCGGACATATGAGTGTACACAATATGTTTATAATGTATACACATTAATTGTGTATAAAAATAAAAGGACACAGTACTATACACTCACATTCTGGACATAACATTGCCCCACCTTGATCTCTATTTGGATCCCTCGGTCTAATTCTAATTGATTATTTCAATGCTTTTTAAACTTTGAAGGTCTGTACTTATATTAATGGGGCCTTTGTTATTTTAACTTATACAAGGGTCCTCAATGGTTAAGCTATTGTAAACAAGTTTCCAGCACAAACAAAATATACACGCTGGCGTTCCTTTCTCGCTCTTCCGGGGGGGCTAGGGCTTCGCCCTAGTCTCCATCGCTCTCCGGCGGGTTTTTCTCCTCGTTTCGCTGGGAAGTTGCTCTTCTTCTCCTTTATTGCTTGTCCGTTCTTGTTTTCGTGGCTTTATGGCTCCATCTTCTCGATTTCGTGATCCCGGTTTTCTGATGGGATCATCATCTCTGTCCTTTAAGGGTGCTCTCTCTGGTTCTTCTTCTTTATCTGTTTTTTCTGATTTGAGGGTGTCTTCTCATAAAGGTTTACTAGTTCTTTGGATTTTCGAGGATGAAATCCAATCTTTGGCTACTCCTTTCGAATTTGCTCTGGTCGGTAAATTCCCTGGTAGGAGGCCCTTTCTTGAGGCTATTAGGAGCTTCTTTTTTAAGCTCAAACTTATTGGTGAAGTTTCAGTTACGGATTTGAATCAAAGGAATGTTTTGATTAAGTTATTTAACGACTTAGATTACTGTAGGATTTTTGCTCATCGATTGTATTT